ATTAAAAACAAAGTTAACATTAAGAAGATCCGAGTACTTCAAGTATTATAGAGAAGATCAAGTACCTCAAGTATTATAGAAAGATCTAAATACCTAAAGTATTGTGGAGAAAGTACCTCAAGTATAGTAGAAAGATCCAAATACCTAATGTATTGTAGAGACGATCCAAGTACCTCAAGTATTGTAGAGAATATCCAAGTACCTCAAGTATTATAGAAAAGATCCAAGTACCTAAAGTATTGTAGAGAAAGTACTTGAAGTATTGTAAAAAGATCCAAGTACCTAAAGTATTGTTGAAAGATCCAAGTACCTCAAGTATTGTAGAGAGATCCAAATACCTAAAGTATTGTAGAAAGATAAAAATACCTAAGGTATTGTAGAGAAACTACCTCAAGTATAGTAGAAAGATCAAAATACCTAATGTACTGTAGAGACGATCCAAGTACCTCAAGTATTGTAGAGAATATCCAAGTACCTCAAGTATTATAGAAAGGATCCAAGTACCTAAAGTATTGCAGAGAAGATCCAAAATACCTAATGTATTGTAGAGACGATCCAAGTACCTCAATTATTGTAGAGAATATCCAAGTACCTCAAGTATTATAGAAAAGATCCAAGTACCTAAAGTATTGTAGAGAAGATCTAAATACCTAAAGTATTGTAGAGAAAGTGCCTCAAGTATTGTAGAAAGATCAAAGTACCTCAAGTATTGTAAAGAGATCCAAATACCTAAAGTATTGTGGAAAGATCAAAATACCTAAAGTGTTGTAGAGAAAGTACCTCAAGTATTGTAGAAAGATCCAAATACCTAATGCATTGTGGAGAAGACCCAAGTACCTAAAGTATTATAGAAAAGATTCAAGTACCTAAAGTATTGTAGAGAAGATCCAAATACCCAATTATTTAAAATATTAAATTATATTAAAGAAAAGACTGGAATAAAGAACATTTACTACAAAAACATTGGATATTGTGATGAGGACATTTTCAAAATTAATATTGGTTACCATGCACTAATTCTAAGTAAGAAAGTATCGCCTGTTATGGGTACTTTACGTAAAAACTGTGTTGACACTTGTGGATAGGCTGTTTGATGTTGACAATCATTCTTCTTCAGGGGCAAAGTAGGAATGCATTCACAGTTTGCCCCTAAAAAAAAGAAAGGTCCACCTTTCGAAAGCGCTCAGGTTATAGAGTATCGTATCTTTATGTTAAATGTATTTCTTGAACCTACGTGTTTTTTCTAACACGATGAGTGTATTCAAATATAGCTATTTATTTTATGTGTTATAATACATATATTATGGTCTATCTTTTCTCCTATACTCAGCATTTCAAAACACAAGTTTATGAACAGCTCAACGTCAGCAAAACTCCCGATCTGGTTTTTGCTCGCATATAATTACCATGATAATAATAACAGTTAAAGTGTGAACTGTGTTTGTTTGCACAAATTACTATAATAATGATAACTGTTAAAGTGTGAACTGTAATTTGTTCGCATATAATTACTATAATAATGATAACAGTTAAAGTGTGAATTGTAATTTGTTCGCATATAATTATTATAATAATGATAACAGTTAAAGTGTGAACTGTATTTTGTTCGCATATAATTATAATAATAATGATAACAGTTAAAGTGTGAACTGTATTTTGTTCGCATATAATTATTATAATAATGATAACAGTTAAAGTGTGAACTGTATTTTGTTCGCATATAATTATTATAAT